TCCTGTTTCTATCCTTTCTTGGGGGTGATAACATGTTCTAAAATTGACTGTGATGATGGTTGTACACCCCTGTGAAGATACTAAAGACCATTGAATTGTACATTTCCGATGGATGATGTGTATGATATGTGATTTATATTTCAAAAAAAAAAGGGGGGGCTACTAAAGTTTTCAAGTTCACACTGGCTGCTGAGTGGACAATAAGTTGTACTGGAACAAAAGGGAACCAGAAAAATGTCTATGGGGCTACTGCAGGGGTGTAGATGAGAAAAAAGATGGGTTAGAGAGATGGCAGTTGAGGGGAGCAGATGCATTAGAGAGAGTTTGTTTTTTATTTGAAAGGCAGGCAAAGAGATATGAAGAGCTAGCATTCACTGGCTCACTCTCCAAATGGCTGCAACAGCCAGCAACGGTGCAGGCTGAGACTGGGTACCAGGAACTCAATCCACATCTCCCGCTTGGGTGGCAGGGACCCAACTACTCGAGCCATTACCACTGCCTCCCAGGATCCACATTAACAGGAAGCTGGAGCCAGGAACTGAACTGGGTATCAAACCCAGGCACTCCAGCGTGGAATCATTAGTCCAAATGCTCCCCCTAGAGAGAGAATTGAAAAGTCCAATTTGATAATGGATTGGACTTGGAGAATGACAGTTAAGAGACAGGAAACCCAAGAAACAATATACAATCCACACATCCTGTAAGTGAGATGTACTCCATCTATGTGAAACCAAGACTCAGGCCCAAGGTCCTTATACTTGCAATAGGGGCTATTTTTTTTTAAAGATTTATTTTATTTATTTGGAAGAGTTAGAGAGGTCTAACACACAGTGAGACACACAGTGAGAGGTCTTCCATCTGCTGATTCACTCCCCAAATGGCTGCAAAGGCTAGAGTTGAACCAATCCAATGCCAGGAGCCAGGAGCTTCTTCTGGGTCTCCCATGTGGGTGCAGGGGCCCAAGGACCTGGGCCATCTTCTACTGCTTTCCCAGGCACATTAGCAGGGAGCTGGATCAGAAATGAAGCAGCCAGGACTCAAACCTGCGCCCATGTGGGATGCCGGTGCTGCAGGCCGGGGCTTTAACCTGCTAGACCACGGCACTGGAGGGGCCAATTTTTTTTTTATGATGAAAAAACATTTATATTTAGAATTAGCCAGCTGGACTCGGTTTAGATGATCCCAGTTTTGTTGGCGACATTCAAAGCATCACAATCAGGACTGGCTGAACACATGCCTTCTCTCCGTCAGGCCTGATCAGGGTGTTGACTTCGGCCGTGTCAGTGTCATAGACTTTCTTCACAGCCTGTTCCTATGGTGCTTGTTGGCCTTGACATCCACGATGAACACGAGTGTGGTGTCGTCATCTGTCTTCTTCATGGCAGACTCAGTGGCTGGGGGAATTGATGACAGCATGATGCTCTAGCTTGTTTCTCCTGCGGGTGCTTTCCCCAGGGTATTTGGGCTGCCACCAAGGCATAGTGCCTTGAGCTGCCAGATGTGGGTGACGTAGGGTTTTTTTTTTTTTTTTTTTTTTTTTGCTTTGGCTTTGGCTTTGGCTTCAGCTTTGGGACGAGCAGGAGCTTCCTGCTTCACCTTTGGCGCCCTCTTGGTGAAAAGTGCAAAAGTGGGGCTGTTTTACCACTCCTTTCCACCAAGATCCATCAAGCTTTCATGACAGGGGCTTCCTGGTCTAAAGTCCCCGAACCCTTCCCTCCTACCTCTCTCTCTTTTTTTAAAAAAATTATTTATTTGATAGATAGAGTTAGACAGTGAGAGAAAGAGAGAAAGGTCTTCCTTCCGTTCATTCATCCCCCAAATGGCTGCTACGGCCGGAGCTACACTGATCTGAAGCCAGGAGCCAGGTGCTTCCTCCTGGTCTCCCATGTGGGTGCAGGCACCTAAGGACTTGGGCCATCCTCCACTGCCTTCCCGGGCCACAGCAGAGAGCTGGACTGGAAGAGGAGCAGCCGGGACTAGAACCGGTGCCCATATGGGATGCTGGCGCCGCAGGCGGAGGGTTAACCTAGTGAGCCAGGGCGCCAGCCTCTCCTGCCTCTCTTTTTTTGTTTGTTTTTGACAGGCAGAGTTAGACAGTGAGAGAGAGAGTCAGAAAGGTCTTCCTTCTGTTGGTTCACCCCCCAAATGGCTGCTGTGGCCGGCACGCTGTGCCAATCCGAAGCCAGAAGCCAGGTACTTCCTCCTGGTTTCCCATGCAGGTGCAGGGTCCAAGCACCTGGGCCATCCTCCACTGCCTTCCTGGGCCACAGCAGAGAGCTGGACTGGAAGAGGAGCAGCTGGGACAGAATCCGGCGCCCCAACCAGGACTAGAACCCGGGGTGCCGGCGCCGCAGGCAGAGGATTAGCCTAGTGAGCTGTGGCGCCGGCCTTCCTGCCTCTCTTAAGAGAGCTGCCCTGAGCACCGTCCCTACAGCTCTTACAAGTCAGCTTCTTCCCTCTCAGGCCTTACCCCTGCTGGACTCGGCTCAGTTAATGGTCTGTTGGAATCTGGCTCAGATGGTGGACTTTGCACCTGCATTATCTGCAACTGCAGATGGCTCAAGAGGTTTCCAGTTGTTAAGTCGAAGGATGGTGTGGAGTGGCGGCTGGGAGGAAGGGCTCGGAGCTGGAATCCTGCTACTAAGGAGAATGAGTCCAATGTATTGATCGCCTCTGTGTGTGAGGCCAACATTTCCTGAGTGCTTACTTTATACCGGGCATTCTTCTAAGCACTTAGTGTGTGCTAAGTCATTAGATCCTTACAAAAATCCTCCCAGGTATTATATTATCTCTGTGGGGAATAGAGAGAAGACAACCTCCTGCCCAAGGAAACACAAGTAGCAGATGGCAGCTTCGGGATTCAAACCAAGCTGTCTGACGGGAGCTCGGCGTCTTGACCACTGTTTTGTACAGATACACGTAAGCCCTCATCTTAGCCCTCTAAGTGCCCTCAGAGACAGGCACCATCATTCCCACATGGTGGATAAGGAAACCGAGGCACGGTGACTTTCATTAACTTGCCCAAGTTCTCGCAGCTAGTGCGTGGCAGACTCTTCAAACAGTGAAACATGTTTCTAACTTTAAGCAGAGTACAGCTGCTCTGACCACATCCTCCATGTGGAATCACTTTGTTGTGCTCCAAAACCTTGACATTCATCCCTCCAGAGTCACCGCCTGCCGAGTTTCTATCTACTTTGAGGTTCTTGCCTAATTATTCTCTACCAGAAAGAGCAGATTAGTAAAGGCATCTACTCAGCTAGATTTTATTTATTTAAGATTCAATTTATTTTATTTGAAAGGTAGAATTACAGAGAGAGGGAGAGACAGAGAAAGAGGTCTTCCATCCACTGGTTCATTCCCCAGATGGCTGTAATAGCCAGGGCTGGACTTGGCTCCTGGCTCCTGGCTTCAGATAGGCCCAGCTCTGGCCACCGTAGCCATCTGGGGACTGAACCAGTGGATAGAAGACTTCTCTCTCTCTCTGTAACTCTGCCTTTCAAATAAATAAATAAATACAATTTTATTTATTTTTAATATTTTAAATGAGTTTCCTCAGTTTTCTTAAAAATATTTATTTGAAAGACAGAGTTATGGAGAGAGGGAGAGAGGGAGAGAGAGAGAGAGGGAGAGGGAGAAGGAGAGAGAGAGAGAGAGAGAGAGAGAGAGAATCTTCCATCTGCTGGTTCACTCCCCAAATAGCAGAGCTGGGCCAATCTGAATCCAAGAGCCAGGAGCTTCTTCTGGGTCTCCCACTTAAGTGAAGGAGCCCAAGGACTTGGGCCATCGTCTGCTGCTTTCCCAGGCACATTAGCAGAATTGGCACTCATATGGCATGCCAGCGCTGCTGGCTGGGGCTTTAACCTGTGTGCCAGAGCGCTGGCCCCGATAAACTTAAAAAAAAAAAAAAAAAAAAAAAAGGAATAGCTGTAACTCAAACCAGCATTTGGATGTAGGCTGAGAGCACCCAAAATGGTGTCTTAACCCACTGTGCCACAATGCCTGTCCCGGACTGATTTTCAAAGACACCCACAGTAAGAAATAAATCCTGATCTGGTGTTGTGGCACAGGAGATTAAGCAGATCCCTGAAACGCTGGAATTCCATTTGGGTGCCAGCTAGTATGTTAAGCAGTGAAAGATGGCCCGAGTGCGTGGGTCCCTCTCATCCATGTGGGAGACCCAGGTGGAGTTCCAGGGTCCTGACTTCAGCCCGGCCCATCCCCAGCTGTTGCAGCCACCTGCTAAGTGAACCAGTGGATGGGAATTCCTTTCTGTATCTTCCTCTCAGTACTCTGCCTTTCAAAACATAAATCTTTAAATAAAAATACAAAAAACCTTAAGTCCCTCCAAATGCCATAAATATTTTGTGAACTATTTTTTAAAGCAAGTATATACTGTTCTTCAAGGTTCCCCTTATCAGTTAGTTCCTGATTAGGTTGCTCAGGAAACCCCTCACCTACTTTGTGTCTAGCCCTTCTGCTGATAGCAGGCCATGCTTTGTTTCACTCATTTTACTTTAACCCAGAATCCCTATTTTGTAGGCCAGGATCCTGTGCACTTGGTAGGGTGACACCACTCCCTTCCCTTAGATCTGAGAGCCTTCAGTCCCACCAGACTCCGAGTCAACACCTCTTCATTTCCAGTGTACTCACCGAATTATCAAAAACATTTCAGATAAGTACAGACTTTGCTCAACTCTAATTTCAGGTGCCATAAATTTGCCTACTCCGAAGGTTGGAGCTAGAGATCAATATGTACTTTGATTATCAGAGTCAGCCCGGGGCCAGCTACAAAACAAGCCAAGGTTTGTCCTTGGCAAGCTTATAGCTTATCTTCATGCCCCTTTCTCCACACCTGCACTTTCTCCCCACGTGTTCCTGTTAGCTCTCAGGTGCTCCTACTTTCTTCACTTTCTTTTCTAAACTTGCTCTCAAGGAAGGACCTGAACTAAATCATACTAAGGTTTTTTTTTTTTTTAAAGATTTATTTTATTTATTTGAAAGAGTTAGAGAGGTAGAAAGAGAGAGAGAGAGAGGTCTTCCATCCGCTGGTTCACTCCCCAGTTGGCCACAACAGCTGGAGCTGTGCCGATCCGAAGTCAGGAACCAGGAGCTTCTTCTGGGTCTCCCACGCGGGTGCAGGAGCCCAAGGACTTGGGCCATCCTCCACTGCTTTCCCAGGCCACAGCAGAGAGCTGGATCAGAAGAGGGGCAGCCAGGACTTGAACTGGTGCCCATATGGGATGCTGGCACTTCAGGCCAGGGCTTTAATCCACTGCACCACAGCGCTGTCCCCAACACACTAAGGTATTAATGATGGCTGAAACAAAATGATCACTCTGAGGTTACCAGCCTTAAAATTTTTTTAAATTTACTTGAAAGGCAGCTACACACAGAGGGACATAGAGAGATCTTCCATCTGCTGTTTCACTCCCCAGATAGCCACAATGGCCAGGGCTGAGCCAAGCTGAAGCCAGGAACCCCATCTAGATCTCCCACATGGGTGGCAGTTTGCTGCCTTCCTAGGCACATTAACAGGGTGCTAGATTCAAAGTGGAGTGGCCAGAACCAAACCAGTGTTCCAATATGGGATACCAGCACAGCAGGTGGTGACTTAACCAATTGCACCACAAGGCAGGTTCTGTTACCTGCATTTTAAAAGGGTGTAAAGATACCATTTTTTAAAAAAGATTTATTTATTTATCTAAAAGAGTTACACACAGAGAAAAAGAGAGGCAGAGAGAGAGAGGTCTTCCATCTGCTGGTTCACTCACCAGTTGGCTGCAATGGCCGGAGCTGTATGGATCTGAAGCCAGGTGCCAGGAGCTTCTTCCAGGTCTCCCATGCAGGTGCAGGGCCCCAAGGACTTGGACCATCTTCTACTGCTTTCCCAGGCCACAGCAGAGAGCTGGACTGGAAGTGGAACAACCGGGACTAGAACCTGGTGTGCTGGCGCCGCAGGTGGAGGATTAGCCTAGTGAGCTGTGGTGCCGGCCTGCAAACTGCAATTTAATGCACTGCACCGGGACACCAACCACAAAAAGCCAGCTTTTAAGACACCAAGTGTTCTAGGTGGGCACTGCCAATGCCAAGTCATTAATACTGTGGCTATGTTCCAAGTCCTTGAGCCACTTGAACCAATTTTGGTCCACTCATCATAAGCAATAGAACCACACTGGGCATGCACACATGACTTCAACAATTATGAACGCCTATTGCATGGCCTACATTGTTTTAGGTAGTGGTGGTGCAGCAGCCAACATGTGCCTACTGGCACGGAGTTTACATTCCAGCAAGGAGTGGCAGACGAAGAACATGTAAAACGTGTCAGGCTGTGGTTAAGTGTTACAAGCAAGCGGTGGGAAAGGAGTGTTGGGGGTGGGTTGGGAGACTCTGGCATGGAGTGATTGTCACTTTACACAGGGGGTCTTATATAAGGTGACATTGCAGCAGGCAAATGAAGGAAATCCTGGGGACATCTGGGGAGAATACTCAGCACAGGTCCCAACAGGTACAGAGACCTAAAGGAGAAAGCCCTCGTACCCTGTTCTAGAAACAACACAAAGAGCAAGGGTTCCTGGGGATGAGTGAATTAGTTGAAGGATAAACAGCAAACTGTGAGGCCAGACAGTGTGGGGACTGTAAGGATGCTGGCTTTTTTTTTTTTTAAATATATTTATTTATTTGAGAGGTAGAGTTACAGTTAGTGAGAGGGAGAGACAAAGTTCTTCCATCCGCTGGTTCACTTCCCAGATGACCGCAACGGCTGGAGCTGCACCGATCCAAAGCCAGGAGCCAGGAGATTATTCTGGGTCTCCCACGCGGGTGCAGGGGCCCAAGGACTTGGACCATCCTCCACTGCTTTCCCAGGCCATAGCAGAGAGCTGGATTGGAAGAAGAGCAGCCGGGACTAGAACCAGTGCCCATGATGCTGTCTCTTACTGACCGAAATGGGAAGCCACTAGAGGGTTTTGAGCAAAGAAGTGACATGACATGGCCTGCATGTTAAAAAGATAACTTTGGGGGCCAGCATTGTGGCATAGTGTGTTAAACCACCGCCTGTAACACCGGCATCCCCTCTGGGCACTGGTTTAAGTCCTGGCTGCTCTACTTCGGATCCAGTTCCCTGCTAATGTGTGTGAGAATGCAGCAGAAGATGGCTCAAGTGCTTGGGCCCCTGCACCCATGTGGGAGATTCGGATGAAGCTCCTGGTTCCTGGCTCCTGCTTGGCCCAGCTCTGGCCATTGCAGCCATTTGGAGAGCTGAAGAGGCCAAGACAGCTTTGACTGTCTGACAAGGTCACAGCAGGAGGTGTGTCTCCACTGCGGTCCTCTTGGTGGTTTTATTTTATATTGATAATTATATTCTATACAAGAAAGCCAGAGTTTCCTGGTGATCTCACTGATGATCGCTATATTCTTGGAAATCTGTGAAAAACAACTTCTATTCAAAATGACCTCAGTGATGGTTGAGCTGTTGGACGGACTAGATCCTCCTAGAGTAATCCAACCCCTCTGAAGCTTCAGTTATCTGTAATAAAAGCCTAGAGGGAATTCTAAACTGTCAGGTGCATGGTATGCAGTTAGACCTGATGTAGGTTAGGGATAAGAGGGTCTTTGGGAAAGGTCTTCAGTCTCCTGCTATAATCCACTTGAGAGCATGTCTTGACATGGATTTAGGAGTTGTAAATAAGGGTTAATAATTTGAGTGGTTGAGAAACACACGAACAGTGGTAAATACCTTAGTACATGTGGCCTGGTGGAAAGAACATAAAGCAGTTACTGAAGTCAGTGAGTCTTAAATGAGCTACTAAAACTAAATAATAGGGGGCTGGCACGGTGGCACAGTGGGTTAACACCCTGGCCTAAAGTGCCAGCATCCCATATGGACGCCAGTTCGAGACCTGGTTGCTCCACTTCTGATCCAGCTCTCTGCTATGGCCTGGGAAAGCAGTGGAGGATGGCCCAAGTCCTTGGGCCCCTGCACCTGTGTGGGAGACCCGGCCTGGGAAAGCAGTGGAGGATGGCCCAAGTCCTTGGGCCCCTGCACCCGTGTGGGAGACCCAGGAGAAACTCCTGACTCCTAGCTTTGGACTGGCACAGCTCCGGCTGTTGCAGCCAATTTGAAAATGAACCAGCAGATGGAAGACCTCTCTCTCCCTCCTTCTCTCCCTCTCTCTCTTTCTCTCTCTGCCTCTCCTCTAACTCTTTCAAATAAATAAATAAATCTTTTTTTAAAAAAAAACTAAATAATAGTGAAGGGTTATGGAAAGGACATGTGTAATGAATGGGTTTGTTTAAACAGGGTGTTTGTGGTTACTAGTAGAGTTAAACTAAAAGGTAAATGTTCCAATCTTCATAATCGTTTTTTTTAAGATTTATTTTATTTATTTATAAGACAGAGTTACAGAGTAAGGTAGAGACAGAGAGAGAGGTCTTCCATCTGCCAGCTCACTCCCCAGATGGCCGCAACAGCTGGAACTGGAACTGGAGCTGGAAGCCAGGAGCCAGGAGCCTCTTCCGGGTCTCCCATGTGGGTGCAGGGGCCCAAGGACTTGGACCATCTTCCACTGCTTTCCCAGGCTACGGCAGAGAGCTGGATTGGAAAAGGAGCAGCTGGGACTAGAACAGGCTATGGGAGCTGGCACTGCAGGCCAGGGCTTTAACCCACTGTGCCACAGCACCGGCCCCAATCAATAGTCATGAAACTAGAAGTAGATGTTCTGATTCTTTGCAAAATAACCACTTTGTTTTGTTTTTTTAAAGATTTTTTATTTATTTGAAAGAGTTACAGAGAGAGGTAGGGACAGAGAGGTCTTCCTCTGGTTTACTCCCCAGATGGCCGCAACAGCCAGGGCTACACGATCTGAAGCCAGGACTTCTTCCCATTTCCCATGTGGGTGCAGGGACCCAAGGACTTGGGCCATCCTCCACTGCTTTCCTGGGCTATAGCAGAGAGCTGGATCGGAAAAGGAGAAGCCAGGACTAGAACCAGCACCCATATGGGATGCCGGCACTTGCCACTGCACCACAGTGCCGCCCCCATTATGTTTTTTGTAATCGATTATTATATAATGTAGCATCACTTTGAGTCTCTGTTCTATTGTATCTTAAATATCAAGTAAATATTTAAAATCAAAGAAACCGTTACACAGCTATGGAAATCGGAACTAGGGAAGAGTTACACACAGTACAAGGTCAATGGGTTAAAGTGGATGGAAATTTATGAGAACAGTAAAGAATGTGTCAAATGAACAGCAGATGTAATTTAGGGTATAAAAATAAAGTCTGGTGCTGTCTCATCAGAGCCAGGCCATCAGCCTTGCTGTGAGTGTCTCTCATTCCTCCCACACCTCCGGGAACCCCTGGACTGGCTGCAGCTGGACTCCGGCAGAGAGCAAACAGGTGGATGGGAGAATTTGCTCTCTTCTCTCACTAACTCTGCCTTCCGAATACTAACAAAAACAAGAGATCACTTTGGGGTTGGTGCTTGGCCTAGCAGTTAAGATGCTACTCCGGGCGGACCCCCACAGACCACCCAAGAGTGCCGGTTTCAGTCTCAGCTGTGCTCCCGGTGTGCGCCCTGGGTCCAGACAGATGGTGACTCAGCAGGTAGGTAGTCGGTGCCTGCCACCCACGCGAGAAATGTGGACTGAGCGCCAACTCTCGGCCGCAGCAGCGGTCCCGCTGTTGGAGGTGTTTCAGGGAGTGAACCAGCTGGAACTCAGCCTGCCTCTCAAAAAAACCAAAAACCACCTCGCTTTGACTGTGAAGGCGAGTGGACTAGTTGGGCTACTGCAACAATGTAACCGGGTGGACGATCACGTGGCAGCTGAGATCCTGAACACGTTCTGAAGGCAGAGCCAACACATTTCTCCCGTCTGCTTGCTAGAGGGGAATTTACTAGACAGGACGGCATCCTGGGCAAGCTTTTACACTGTATTTATTACCCTGCATTTTAGCTTGGAAGGCGGAGCCACACACACACACAGATTCCCCTCCTCGGGCTCACTCGCCCAAAGCCCACAGCAGTGGGAGCCCGGGGAGGACCTGCGAGTCGACCTTGGTCTCCTGGGTGCCGGCAGGGACAGAGCCAGGGCTCAACCCCGGGCGCTCTAACGTGGGATGCGAGCTTAAACCCAGCCGGGCGAGAGGCGCTGCACCGGCCCCGCCGTGTCCTCCAGTCCCTCTCACACTGGAAGGGCTTTTCGCCTGTGGCCCAGGCCCCACGCATCCTGGTCGTGGCGTCCCAAGCATCAGAACCCGGATAACGCGAAGTGACGTGTAGATTGACGGAAGGCTGCCACCCACCCCGCCCCAGGAGATGCCGCACAACCCACTAGCGACGCCGGCTGCGGACCGCCGAGGGGCAGCGGGTTCCGGCCACCCACGCCGAGCTCCTCGCGGGCATCCAGGGCGTGGACCCGCGGACTAGAACTCTGCCAAACAGGAACCCGAATCCACTCCTTTTCCAGGGCGCCCCGCCCCGCCCGGCTCTTGCCCCAGACCAGTCCCCGCTCGGCGCCGACTCGGCATCCCGACTCTGCGCCCCTTCTCTGTGAGGACCGAGTGCCGGCCTCGTGGGCAGGCGTGGACCGTCCTCGGAGGTTTCTGTCCCCGCGGGTACGGGTGGCCGAAGCTACCCCTGACGTCACATGGTTATTCTGAGGAAATGCACCTGCAAACCTAGCTGGTCTCACTACCGCTTTCACTGCTTCACCACAGCCGGCGCAGGAACTACCCTTAAGGCCAAGGCTTTCCCACCAGGCAGAGGCGGCGCCGCCGCCGCTCCCCGCCGCCCCGCACCATCGGCCCCCGCCAAGACGTTTGCGCCTGCGCGGCATCACGCGCTCTCAGCGAACTCTCCCACTGGACAGTGGCGTCTGGTCACGTGGCACGCACCAGCCAATGTCTGGCGGCCGTGCGCTCGCCTCCTCGTTGCTAGGTGACCCGGGGCCGCCTCTCCCCGCCGCACGCCGGCCTCAGTCCGCTGAGGTTCACCCTTGCAGGTTACCTGGCTCGGTGGTCACCGGCGCCTGCCAGGGCTGTCGCGGTTGCCACTTTGGCTCCGGCAGGAGCCCCGGGTGGCAGGCCCCTGCCAGACTGAACCCTAGCGTCGCGGCCTCCGCGGTCGGGAGCATACTGGACGCTCTGAGGATGACCTGACGGCTCAGGTGCCGCAGGACCGCGCTACCGGGGCCCGCTCTATTCCCCAGCTCCCTGCCTCGGCCACCTCAGCTGGAGAGAACCGGATCAGACTGCATTTCGGGCAGGGGTGTGGCTGAGACTGTGGCTAGCCCAGAAATTAGTCCCTGGTGGGAGTCCCAGGCGTGGCTTCCTGCTGCGTCCGCGTGGGTTAGGTCTGAGAAAAGCGCAACTGGGGTTCTACGGTGTCTTGTTAGCTCTGATTGAAGGGTAACCCGCTGCACATGGATCCAGAAAAGACTCGAGTTAATTTTTTTTTTAAAGATTTATTTATTTGGAACTCAGAGTGATAGGAGAGAGAGAGGAGAGAGAGATTCCCCCTGGTTCACTCCCCAAATGCCTGCAACAGCCAGAGCTAGGCTTTGTCAAAGCCAGGAGCCGGGAACTCCATCCCGGACTCCCACATGGGTGCCAGGGACCCAGGCACCGGAATCATCTTTCGTTGCCTTCCCGGGAGCTGGATCTGAATTGGAGTAGCTGGGAGTTAAACCAGCCTCATAGGGGATGCTGGCCTCACGGCTTAACCTGCTGCACCACAACTTTGACCCCTCAAATCTAACTTTAAAAAGTTTATGGGGGATGGCGCTGTGGTGTAGTGGGTAAAGACACCGCCTGCATTGCCGGCATCCCATAGGGCGCCTGTTCAAGTCCCGGCTGCTCCATTTCCAATCCAGCTCTCTACTATGGCCTGGGAAAGCAATAGAAGATGACCCAAGTGCTTGGGCCCCTGCACCCACATGGGAGACCCAGAAGGAGCTCCTGGCTCCTGGCTTTGTATTGGCTCAGCTCCAGCTGTTGTGGCCACTTGGGGAGTGAACCAGCAAATGGAGGACCTCTCTCTCTCTGCCTCTCCTTCTCTCTCTGTGTAACTCTGACTTTCAAATAAATAATCTTTTTAAAAAGTTTATGTATCATACATATAATTATACAGATATCATACACATAATATATCTTACATATATCACACATATAATTTTATATATATATATATATATATATATATATGACTGTTTTGGGATATCTGACAACAGTGGCAGTCTGTTTTTCGCTGTTGAGCACTTCCGATCCAGAATCGTTGTGGTGTACCTTGGACTGGTATACAGCTTGTTATTTATTAGAGGGTTTGGTATTTCTTCTTTCCCTAACATATTTGGATTAAATTCACTTGTTTCTTTTTAATCATCAACCTCTGAAATATGATGTTTTCATGCATGGATAAGCATGACCAGGGAGGTCTATGTTTCTCAAGCTTGAGTGTGTGTAGTAGCCACTTGGGGCTCTTGTTATAAAGCACGTTCTGATTCATTGCATCTGGCAGGGGCTTCCAGGTACAGATGACCTGCTGGCCTGATGCATGCTTCGAAAAGCAATAGCCCTGGGGCCAGCATTGTGGCATGGAAGATATAGCCTCCACCTGGGACGCAGGCATCCCATATGCACAACGATTGGTATTCCAATCCAGCTTCCTGCTAATGCCCTGGGAAAAGCAGCAGGAGATGGCCCAGTGCTTGGGCCCCTACCATTTGCATAGGAGATACAGATGAAGCTCCTGGCTTCTAGCTTTGGCCTGGCCTGGTCCTGGCCATTGTGGCCATCCGGGAAGTGAATCAGTGGATGGAAAAATCTCTCTGTCTCTCCCTCTCTCTCTCTGACTCTGATTTTTCAAATAAAGAAATAAATCTTAAAAAAAAAAAAAAAAGCAATAGCCCTATTGAAATAGCAATAGCAATTGCTTCATTTTCATAACTGATTTTATGCCAAAACAGTTTTTTAAAGGTTTATTTATTTGACAGAGAGAGAGGGAGGGAGAGAGAGAGAGACTTTCCATCTACTAGTTTACTCCACAAATGGCCCCAGTGGTCATGGCTGAGCCAGGCTGAAGCCAGGAGTCTGGAACTCCATCTTGGTATCCTACATGGGTGGCAGGGGCCTAAGCACCTGGGCCATCCTCCACTGTCTTCCCAGGTGATTAGCAGGGGGCTGGAACAGAAGCAGAGCAGCTCAGACTCAAGTGGAGCTCCAGTGTGGGGTGCTGGTGCGACAAGCAATGGCCTGACCCTTTGTACCACAGCACCTGCTCCCAAAACAATTTATTGACTTCTGTGAACTCTAACTTACACAGCCTCTCTGTGTGGCCACTTGTGGGATGAACCAACAGATGGATGATGTCTTTCTATACCCTCCTTTTTTTCTGTCACTGTCAAATAATATTTATATTTTTTTAAAGAAAGGCTGCTTCTAATGCTTGCACCCCCCATTAAAGTGCCCACGTTCAAGACATTCTGCCTCCAACTCCAGTTTCCTACTGCTGTACTCCCTGGAAGGCAGCAGATGATGGCTCAAGTACTTCAGTCCCTGCCACACACATGGGGGAGATCCAGGCTGAGTTCCAGGCTCCTGGCTTTGGATTGGTCATTGCAGTCATTTGGAGAGTGAACCACTGGATAGGAGATCTTTCTCTCTCTGAATTTGAAATTAATAAAAATTAAGAAAGAAAGCATCAGATGAGGGCACACCTGTGGATCTGAATAGCAAGACTAAGAGTGGAAGACTAGCTAATGATTGTTCTGTTTATGAGAGAGAAAACTTCAAATGATATAAGAAAATTAGATATGCAGAAATCCAGCACAATGATGTATAGAATCCATGGGGTTCCATTTTGTAAAAGCTTATGAAAATCATGTTCTTATTCTGGAAGATATGAATGTTCAGGGCTGACAGTGTGGCACAATGGGTTAAGCCACTGCTTGGGATGCGCACATCCCATATCAGAGTCCTGAGTCCCAGCTGCTCCGCCTCTGACCCGGCTCCCTGCTAGTATGTCCTGGGATGCAAGAGATGATGCCTCAGGTGCTCGGGCCAATGGCACCACATGAGAGATGTGGATGGAGTTCCTGGCTCCTCTTTCCGTCTGGCCCAGCCCTGAGCACTGTGGCCCTTGGGGAGTGAACCAACGGATGGAACTCCTGATTCCAGCTCTCTGCTAATGCCTGGGAAGGTGCCAGATGATGGCCCAGGTGATGGGGTCCCTGCCACCTATGTAGGAAACCTGGAAGAAGTTCCGGGCTCCTGGCTTTGGCCTGCCCAGCCCTGGCTGTTGCGGGAACTCTGTTTCTCCCTGTCTGTCACTCTACCTTTCAAATAAATAAATCTTATTTTTAGGATTTTATTTGTTCGTTTGAGAGGCAGAGTTACAGATAGAGAGAGGGAGAGACAAAGAGAAAGGTCTTCTATCTGGTTCACTTCCCAAATGGCCGTAATGCCAGAGCTGGGCCAATCTGAAGCCAGGGGCCAGGAGCTTCCTCCAGGTCTCCCACGTGGTGCAGGGGTCAAGCACTTGGGCCATCTTCCATTACTTTCCAAGGCCATAGCAGAGAGCTGGATCAGAAGAGGAGCAGCCAGGACTCAAACCGGTGCCCATATGGGATGCTGGCACCGCAGGCCAGAGGCTCAGCCTACTATGCCACAGCTCTAGCCCCAATAAATAAATCTTTTTTTTTAAAAAAAGTTTATTTATTTGAGGGAGAGAGGGAAAGAGCAAGCCCTCATTTGCTGGTTCACTCCCCAAATGCTTACACTGGCCAAGGCTGAGCCGAGGCCAAAGCCAGGAGCCAGGGAAGCAGTTCAGGTCTCTGCCCAAGGTGGCAGGAGTCCAGGTACTTGAGCCATCTTGGCTGCAGCTCAGAGACTGCATCAAGAACCAGAGCCAGGAATGACCCAGGGACTCCGCTAACCGCCTCTGGCGGAGTGCCCGATGTTATTGTATCTTGTAAGGCTTCTTGAAGTGTTACTTGGAAACTATGTGATTCTTTGGGGTCTCATTCTTAGGCATGTGAGGCAGGACTAGAGCAATGCAGCCCTAGTGCTCATTATTTCCTCCAGGTGAGACAAGTACTCTTCCCATTGCCCACAGAGGAGGAGTTTCCCCGTGTGGCTGGGAGGAGTAGCATGGTGTCCAGTGCAGTGTAGACACCAGGTGCTTTGCATCCTCATTCTTTCATGTTCTTCCCCGGCCTTGGGTAGTTTTCTCACACATGTATGCTGAGCAGTGGCCTGCTCAATACTAGAAGGGGGTCCTTTACCAACTCCTGAGTTCTGGCTGTCTACTGCTCCACTCTCTCTAGTACTTTGTCACTGCATTCTAGCTGCCTTGGTCTCCCTGGACTCTCAGCTCTGTCTCTGCACAGGGATTCCACTGAGCTCTGCTTCCGTTGTCCTTCCTACCACTGTAGTTTGGAAAGTCTCAAGGCCATAAGCTGGGGTGGTAACAGGACTCCTAATATTTAGTGTGCTTTTTTTTTTCCCAGGTGCATTTTATTGGAAAGGCAGAGAGACACAGAGAGATCTCCCACCTGCTGGTTCACACCCCAAATGCCTGCAACAACCAGGGCTGGGTCAGACTGAAGCCAGGAGCCCAGAACTCCACCCATGTCTATCAGGTGGGTGCTGCAAGGGACCCAACTACTTGAGCCATCATCGGCTGCCTTCCAGGAAGCTGGATCAAAAGTGGAGGAGCTGGGATTCAAACCGTGTTCTCCAATATGGGATGTGGGTGTCCAAGCACCATTTTTTTTTTAAAGATTTATTTATTTGAATGGCAGAGTTAGAGAGAGAGAGAGAGAGAGAGAGAGAGAGAGATCTTCCATCCATTGGTTACTCCCCAAATGGCTGCAATGGCTAGGGCTAGGTCAGGCAGAAGCAAGAAGCCAGGAGCTTCTATTGGGTCTCTCACAAGGGTGGCAGGGGCCCAAATACTTGGGCCATCTTCTGCTTTTCTCATGATATTGGCCAGGAGCCAGATCTGAAGTGGAGTAGTCAGGACACAAACCAGCACCCTTATGGGATGCTGGCATCACAGGGAGTGGCCTTACCTGCTAGCCACAATGCTGGCCCACAAGCAGCATCTAA